GCTTAATATTGGCTGGTACATTTTTGACCTTAATTTTAACAGGCTTTTACTTCTGCATGTCAGTTTACATGGGAAGGCTGGCTCAGGCATGGGGAGCTGGACAACTAACCTGATCTCCTGGCCAGACCTAAAAGTAACCCAAACAATCAATGCATCTTTAATTTGAAATGCTTAATGACTAATCTCTTGTTTTCTTTAATTAATGATCTACAGTTAATCATTGTGAATAGTAAATTGTCTATTTCAGTATTGATATGAAGAGTTCCTATGGGAAAATGTTCCCCTATAGCTTTAATTTAAATATGCATTTTCACATCACACTTACCATATCCTTACCTTTATGCTATCGCATGATTACAGATCTATTAACTAATCACATTTGACAACTTGTTTATTAAGGGGAGCAACTACTTTACATTTCTTGCCTGGGAAAGAAAATGCTCTAACAAACAATTATTCAGCAGCTGCAATCATGGAGCACTGAATTAATTGGTTTGAAGATCTCAGTCAAGAAGATCTTGATAAAAAATCAAAGAAAATGTTTGACAGAATGCATGAATGAGAGTGCCAGGAGGGACTCAGGCTTGGTAAGCTGCAGCCCTGCTTCAGGGAGCACTCCATGAGGACCTTGAAACACTGCACTCAGAGGAAGAGGAGGCTGTGGAAAAGCTCATTTGCTTGTTTGTTCTTTTATGTTTAGTTTATCAAACCCAGAACATATCATTTGATTATAGGATCAGGACGCTGCTAAAATGGGCCAAAAAAAACCTGAGCACAATCAGGTCTATAAAGGCTGACACATGGTTATCTCATATGCGTAACCTCTATGGATGACTTCTCCTGCCATACAAATAATTAACCCAAAGGGTACTGTGAAGTGCAATGATCATAAAGCACTTTAGAACTTTCTCCCAATGGGAGCTGTTGTGATTGCACTGGAGTGGGATAAAAAGCAGAACAAGGCATGTGGGGATCTCAACTCTGGACTCAGCCAGGCAAAACTATCTTGGTGCACCTTGAAGCTGGGGAATGCCACTCACTCCCTGACAAATGTCCAAGAGGGCATCAGGACAGTTTGTCTCTTGAGTTAAAAGATCAATGCATTGTTGGGAGTAGAGCATTGTAGAAAATAGTGGGATTGCTGGTAAAGCATGATGAAGGCACTGAAGACATCAGCTGGAAAGGGGTTTATGATCTCTCCAGCTCCTTTATCAGCATGAGGAGGACCAGAGTGTCTCATGGAGACAGACCCAAACTCTGCTCCATGGACAAGTCACAGCCTGCAACACACTGGCCAGTTCCAAGCCATGCTTCCTTCTTTCAAATGCTGTAACCTTGTGTGCTTTGCAAGTCAGCTGAGATGAAATATGTTTCTGACAGATAAGACTGATTCGTACAGTGACACTGGAAAGGAATGGAGAGCTTAAAAATCCAAAATTCTCTGTAGTAAAGAGCTTCAAAAGTGAAGCACAAAGACTAAACAATATCTTCTTTGAATATTAGGTCACTATAAAAACCTGAAAAAGTTGCCTAGTAAGCTGAAGAGCAGTGATAATGTCAGGTGGCTTCACAGAAAACATCCTGATTGGGCTTTTTGGTTACATCCCATTAGTAACACAGTCAGCTTTTCAAAATTCCCTAGTTCTTACATTAAAAGTTGCTAAGAGTTGGCTAGCATCATCTCTCTAGAAAAGGGAAGAAATATAATTCTTTTCCCTTTCCTACATACCCCAAGTTCAGAGGGTCAGCGAGGATAGTGGTATTGAAGTCAGTCATGAACGTGGCACTATTTTGCCAAACCAAACACCCCTAATAACTAATGCCTCAAAAGTGCGATGGAAACTTCTGTCACAATGGTTCATATTTAAAAGTGAGGGCAGAGAAACTGTGGCCTCCATCTTGACTCTTGTTTAAAATCAGTGAGAGGCCAAATTGAATTTATATACTTGTATGTACCCTGATTCAAATAATTGTTTCTGCAGCAAGTCCTTGGCTCTCTTTAATGCTTCAACATGAGAGAGATAGAGCCTAAGTAACAGGCTCTATCTTTTCCTTTTCCCTTTTCTGTTTTTTTTAATCTTTTTTTTTTTTTATTTTGCAGATATGGTTGACAAAATTTGCCCTGCCAAAGGAAATGTAGAAAGAAGCAAGTAATCAAGTTGTTGCTGAAGTTTGTATTTATCATTCTAGTAAGCTGTAGAGTAGCTGAAGACTCACATGTTCTGCTTTATCCTTATGAAAAATGTAAATAGCAGGTTACATATTAATGCTTAGAAATCACTAACTTTACTTGCCAAGGAATTATACAATTATTTTAAATGAATGAACAGAAAAGTGTACATCAGGCTGTAGGCTCAAGTGGCTCTTGCACAAGCTGGGTTAAACCTGAGGTGTTCCCAAGACAGCAGACCTTTATCCTTCTTTAGGATAATGATCAAGCAAATCTTTAAGAATCTTCCTAATGAGGTCATGAGTAAAATGTATTATTAGACACACAAATGAACTCTTATTAAAATAATAGAAAAATCCTGATATATAAAAGGCATAGTGTATTAAATCCAGTTTGACCTGAAGCCATGTGTTGAATTCCATTATTCGGATCTGTCCTTAATAAAAGGCTTTCCATTTAGTTAGTAAAATTTGAGATTCTACTAATTTTGAGTAAAGTTTTTTCCATGCTTGAAGAGCTGGTCTGCCCCATGTCAGGTGGCTCATGCTGTGTGATAAAGCTACAGCAATGAGAAGAGCATTTTTGTCCTCTACATCCAGACCCTAGGTCTGGATTCAGAAGAAAGGCAAAGCTGCCACAGGCCCTCTGTTTTCTTACAAGCCAAATATACAGGCTAAGAATCTGTCACCTCAGTGCTTTAGCAGCTGACACTGCAGTTGATCCATCCACATCATGGGAAGGTCAGTTAAATTGCTCTCAGTTTATTTCAAAAGCTCTCAACCCTTTTGCACAGACGTTGGACTGAGGAGAGAAATGACCACTCAAAACCAAAGGAAGTAAAGCAGCTGCTGCCATCTGAAAAAAAATTGCTGTGAGGACAAAGCAGCTCACTCGTGCCAGCCACACAGTTATAAAAGCTTTTCCTGCTATTGAGAAATCTGTGAGATATTAAGCTCACTATAACAGCACTAAGATCTTCCCCTGCTTAAGTTACATCTTTATTTAGGCACACATCATTCTAGCCACAGAGTGATGGAAATATTTTTATTTGGTTTTTTGCTAATGCAGAATGAGTAGCTAAAACTGAGGCAATATTAATGAACATATTCTGTTCTGGTAAATCAAGAGTGCCCCTGAGCGAGTAGTGCTTGTTCAGCTCTGGGCACCTAGCTCAAGAAAGATATCATCAAAATAACATGTGGGATTTTGAAATAGACACTAATTTAAAAATGGCAAATATAATCCAAACAAAGATGGAAAAGACTGGGACATTTTCCTTTAGGGCGATAAAACTTAATCAATGATATTTGTATTTGGAACCACTTTTATAGTGAGTGACAGGAAAAGGAATGTGATGAACACTTGCTGACCCTTTCCTTCTTAGCAAGAGAAAATACACAAATTTTAAAGCTTGGAAAGAAAACTCTTGTGGCATATCATCAAGCTGCAAGTGCTACAAGACAGCAGTGATGCCAAAATTTAAGCAAATTAAAGAATACAATTTTTTACTTTTAACTGCCACTCTGAATTCATGTCCAGACAGAGACATAAAGTGAAACTTTGACAGACTAAAAGGCTTCCCACGTCTGCATATTAAAAAGCCTGTAATTACTGAGGGCTGGGAAGAGGCTGTGTACACAACGACTTTCTTCTGCAAGTATTTCGTATCACTACCGAACACTGGACAAGAGCCGAAAAAAAACCCTTCAGGTGAAACAACATATATTATAAATAATGTCTTCTTGTAGCTATTTTGCAAGAAGTTTATAGAAATGTGAAGAAATACCGTTACAGAATAAAAGACACTTCACTAGTTATTATAAGTTTTCTCCCTTTGGGGAGGTACATAAAAAACATTTAGAAAGCTATCTTGATATAAAAATCTTGAAAGATTGTTCTTTCCTCATAAAAAGCAATTTATTTTGATGTCTCACAAACTGGTTTTTTTTGTGAGTATATAATACATATATGGAACAATTACAGTTTAACCATTTACTAATGGTTATATGAAGAAATCATCATATCTTATATTCCCATGATTCCTTAAAGGAAACTGCAGCAACTTTAGCTGCAGCACAATTTTCATTAAATCACTCAGCTGCACTGTCTTGCCTTGCAATTGTCAATCCCACTTTCTTTGTTTCACAGACTCTTATTCCAAAATTAAAATGTCTAGCAATTCCTTTTGCCTTTATTACAGTAATTTTATAACTGGGTCAAAAGAACACTTTACTTGAGCAGCTCAGTTAGCTCTAAATTAGTAGTGTCACACTGAGCTCTAGATGGTGAGGTGGATTAGAGCTCCCTTTCAGCACAAGGCTGCCTGTGAAAGGAAAACAATTAATGGACGGATTAATTAATTAATCAATGGATGTCAGTGGCTTATTTATGAAGTCACCTTAGAAAGCAGAGAGCAAGATGTAAATCTGCTTCATGGCATCTTTTCCTCCATGACTGAGAGAAGTAAGATGAAGCCTAAACCAGGGTGTTTTGTTTTGGCACGTTTGTGGAAAAAAGGTGCATCTCATAATATTTCTAATTTTACCTATTCACACAAGGTGGTGTCCATTGGATTAAGTGATTGGCAGGGAGCATCGATTTAACTGAAAGCCAGTTAAATGGCTTTTCCTCCCTTCCTCCAGGTCAGAAAACTGAGGCTGATACTGTTTGCTGTCATCAGTATGAGCCTACAGGGGTACATTCATGGCAGGCCCAAGGGAAAAGGAGCTACCCCTGAGCTCTCTCATTTTACAGCAGCCATCACCCATGGCTTATACACTGGAGTAAAGCTTAATGTAGTTCCAGATTGAAAAAAATTACACCGAAAACCTTTTATTCTAGAAACATTTTTAATTTCACTTGCATATTTTAACAGAAATAAAACATACTAGCAGCAAAATAAGAAGATTTCTGTTCTAACATTTCACAATACATTAGTGTCTAGAGCTCCATTTTTCTATTAAGGCAATTTGCATTAATTAGAAATGAACTCTGAATACTACGACAGTATTTCCAAATACGTACAAGTCAACAAAAAATAACTATTAGTATTATTACCACAGGAAAAAAAACCCCACAATACTAGTAAAAATGTAAGCACTTGAAGGTAATGCCTTTAAACCACAGAAGGTACCGTCTTACCATTCCAAGACCAAGTAAACACATGAAGACATTAGGTAAATATAAAAAGTTAATAAATTAAGGCTTTGTTCAGTCAATATTTCAAATGTTCATGTTCTGTGAAATTTATATTCAAGTTTGAACTAGCAGTTAATTTCAAGTTGTACTTCCTAAATGAAGAGTTCAGGCTGAATTCTGTCTCCCCCACATCAAGACTGCATCCAATCCCTTAACGCTGTTTTTAAGCAGCATTAATTAATCCCAGCAGAGAACAAGCAGGTGTGGTTTTCAGAGCAGGCCCAGCACATTCCTCAGAGAACACTCTAATCCCACGTGTAGTTCAGCAGGTGCCACCAAAGTCCTCCCTGGGCTACACTGGATCACTGGAGCCATTCATCCTGGGAGAAGTGTTTCTCAATGGACTTCCCTGCCAGGTGACAGCATTCCAGCTTGCCTACTCAAATCTGAACACAGGGGAATGGGACAGAATGGCTGGGAGAAGCCACAGGTCCTCCAAGCCTCCTCCCAGTAGGAAGCTGCCAAATGACTTTTGGGTTTTGATCCCTGATACTTTGAGTCATGCAATTAAAACATCCTCATTGAACGCAGCTGCTATGATGGTGAACCATTACATTCTCCTCTACTGCTGGGAGCAGCAGTTCCTCCAGGGGCACTGACTTTATTGTATAGTGAGCTCTGTGTTTCCTGGGAGCCTGCAGGTTTTATTGGTTAAACCAGCTTGCTTCACAGAAGATGCAAAGGCACTAATGGCAATACAGAAGCGGAGGGGAAAGAAAGGCAAAGTAACAATAAATACCTGAATCAACTCTTTCTTCATAACAGGGATTATATAGTTCTGAAGCAGATTAACAGAATAATTAATGGCCTTGTTTGCTTTGTGGTGGTCACTGCAATATCATGAACTGGCCCACATGAGTCTAATTTAAGGACAGACATAAAATATCAACACAGCTTAATGGAGAATATTGAACAATAGGTTGCATTTTACTCTTCAATATATTAAGCTTGGCTTGCAAAGATACCTGCACTGAGGTGTTACCCGCAAGAACCCTGAATTACTTTCTGAAAACAATATGAACATGTAATTTTCTTCAAAATATCATAATAATAATTCCAAGATACAGTATTAGTAGGGATTCAGCAAGAAATATAGCTGTTTGCCATCTTACTGAAAATTTTAAAGGCTCTGGGATAAAAGGGACAGAACTTCAATGGTCTGCCTTGTTTGCTTTTCCCCACCCCCTACCCACGTCACTGATGTAATAAAAACTTATCACCTCTCTCTACAAACCTTACCTTGCATTCAATTTTAAAAATCAATGATCTGGAATAAACTGTAAAAATCACTTGCAATAAATTTGCAAAGGACATGCAGACTGCTGGAATAGTAAAGAATGAGGACAGGTCACTTACACAGAGCAATCTGGATCACTTCATGACCAGTATTTTAATGCTGGTAAAATACAACCTGTATTTCCAAGAAAATATAGGGTAAGATGATAAGAGGATGATGTACCACATTCTTGACAAAGACTCTGAAGAGGACTTGGCCTATAACAGTCAGCATCCAAGACAATGCTTCCACAAAAAAAAAGAAAAAAATAAAAAGCAATTTTTGAGGAAAAAGAGAGAAGGAGATATTAATCAGAGCAAGAGGATCACATTATGGCTCTGTACAGTCCTGATGGATCACTATTGACATGTGGCATCTAATTCAGATGTCACCCTTCCAAATATTTCTGTACATGAGAAATACAGAGAAAAACGTGAAGATTAATTAGTCTTGGATAGCATTCACTGCCATAGGAAAGTTAAGGAATTCAGTACGTCTCATCAGAGAAAAGGTTAAAAGGGACATAATCATGATTTATAACTACACACAGGCAATTAGAAAAGCTGATACTACAGAGATCAATATAAGCAATCAAATGCATAAAAAGACCAAAATAACTTAAGGTGCAGCTAGAAATGCAAATAGAAAATCAAGTGAAAAATGTACCTGGGGTAATTAAGTATTGCAACAAGAGGTATGAGTGAACTCTCATCACTTGAAGACTTCCAATTAATATTAAATGCCTTGCTAAAATACGTATGTTTAGTTCAAAACAAAGCCACTGAATTTAACAGAGAAACTGCTTGCTGAAATTCAATGGTCTGTTGAATTTAAAAATAAATCCTCATTATGGTGCCTTATTTCCTTATAAATGTATGAGAGTTTTTAAAAATATATCTACAAAATGGAAGTGAGTTACCAAGAAAAGGTGTCTTCTTTCTGAGCACAGAAACATTTAATGCTAGATTTAAAGCTAAATAAACTGCAGCTGCATTTTAGAAAATATGCTTCACCCCCTCCCAATTTTTCCCATTTTTTGTTCCGAGTTCTACAGTCCACTTAGTTGACTGTCTGATTTACATAATCATGTAGTTTTTCTTCAGTTTTTCTGTTCCTATTTATAAGCCATTCACAAACCATCCACTTAAGTAACAGCATGATTTATTGTAAGAATGATTATGGTTGTTTCAGAGGGAAAATGGAACGTGATTAAATGAAGAATGAACAAGGACATTCTAGAACAAAGGGCTCTAATCCTGCAAATGGATTTGTAAATGAAACCTGCCTCTCAACCCCATCCCAAATGAACTACTGAGGGAATTCAGCAGATACCTTTACAACTGTGAGCCAAGAGCTTAGCTGAAGGCAAAAAAAATAAATAAAATAAATCAACCAACCAACCATGCCCACAGTATCTTCTGGAGAAATGGTAAAGTTCCCAGAGCCATCCACACTTAGGGAAAAAAATAATAAATAATGAACAGTATGTATACAGTTCCTGGAATGACCCTCTCAACACAGGTCTAAGCACCAAGTCTCCAGAGGGAGAACTGCAAGCAGACCTTTGCCCTTGGATAAGTTCCAGCATCTGAGACAAATGCATCAACCAAGGAAATGGCTGGGTATTTAAGCTGTGGATACAAGAGAACACAGCTTTTTCTTATGCAGTAGATGCATAGGTGCCACAGAGACCCTAACAACCCATACTTCTTACAGAGCTGGTGAACAGTCTAATGAAAGAGTATCAAAGTTCAGTATCTTCACCTGAAGTGCTTATTCTCTACTATGGCAGAGAGAACAAGTGGTTAAAAAACCCTGTTTGCTTACCAGTTTACAAACCAGTTCCCTACCAGGGACAGCTGAGAGGCTCCACAAAGGAGGAGCTGTGTTACAGACCCACTTTTGTCAGGAAAAACAACCCTAAGATGAGCACATGCACAAACCCAGCAACTGCTTTTAAACACTGTCTTAGCCCAAAATAAACAGCAGTGATGGAGCACATCCTTGCTCAAATACAGATAACCCTGGTCCATTCCAATTGCACATGAGCCAGCAGGAACTTGGGAAATCCCACACTAAATTGATAGAACTGCCTCAGAAATTCGTATGGAGTTACAGAGCCATTCAGAACAGCACAAGAGCAAGAGGATGCAGCAAGCATGGAGCCCAAGAAAATCAGCTTTGCAAGATCTGTGCTGAATATGTGTGAATTCCCATTTAAGTAGTCTGAGGAGCTGTGCATGGGCTAAGCTGAGGGACTGGTAGAAGGCACTGGTAATATGCCTGCTGTGGGGACAGCTGAGGTTACCCTGAACACTGTGTTTTTTTCAAGAGGAAAGTACTGAACTATTGTTTTCAGAAATAGCACCTTACTCCAGACAGAGAAAACCACCCACCAATTCTAGTGCAATTATTTAGATAAGAGCACTAATGAATACAGCTGAGACTGCAGCTAGCAGTAATGCCCTGGCTTATAGGAAACACTCGAGCTAAATGCTAAAACCTACTTTTAATGAAGAGTATTAGGAGAAGGCTGAGAAACTTTAAATTCCAAACACTCCTCTAAGCTAAATATGATGCCTATGGATGCAACCAGGACCTGGGGTCTAGTATTTCTGTGATGCCTTTATGTCTAGGGGTTGGTACTGGTTTGGTTTCAGACTTGGTCTTGCTCACCAGAGAAACAGGACTCCCCAGGCCAGCTAAAGCACTTTTTCCACAAGGACCAATTTTGCGAGGAGTAGCAATGGGGGTTTGCAGCTGCTGCGTTTTCGTAGCTAACCCTGGCTCTAAGGAAGAGCGACTGGCAGGTGTGTGGTCAGGCTTCCTCCAGTTTTCCTTGCCCAGCTGCTCTGTGTTCACCTGTGCTTCTGCACTGCACGGTGACCTATCGGAGGGTGGAGGTGGAGCTCTTCTTTTCTTTCCTCTGCTGTCATTAGGACTTGTAGCATCTCTTTTTGGGTCCAGATGCATGTTTTTCTGAACAGCCATCTCATGAGATCCATCAAAGAGTGACGCCCAAAGGGCAGATGCAGACTCTTGTTGCTGACCAAGAAGAAACTCACCATTGCTCTCTTCAATTTTCCTATGTATGATATCAGCTAAGCCCTCATGTTTCACTGGAGAATCAATGCCTGTAATTTTAAGGGACAGCAATTAACCCAGATTAAAACACCACCAATGATTTTGCTTCCATCTATTTTCTTATTACTACTCAGAATACAAAGCTGTATTAACTGTCTCACCAAGTATGAACTACTAAGAGTATTTATTAATGGATGAAATGGAAAATATTACATATGTTATCCAAGAGAGAACTGAGGTGACAGCAGGGAATAATTTTTGTGACAGCTGGCATTGAGGCAGCAGGATAGGCACTGATATTTCTTTCCTAGTAAAAGAAAAAATAAAGTACTACAGGGAAACCTGTATGTATTAGTTATTAAATATATTTTGTTGTATAGTGCTTTGAAAATTTTATTTCACAGGAGGCCCATGAAAGTCTGACTAAATAGTCTTGTGCTGCCAGCTTGTATAAAATGGGACATCTTCACATATATAACTTTTCTCTATGTGCCTTAGGACTGCCTTGCTCCATTTCTTATTCTTCTTACTGGGTTTTCCATGTATACTGCAGTAGTACCAGCCTCAAACAGCAGTAGTACCTGATTTTCAATAGAATCACAGAACCGTTTAGGTTGGAAAAGGCCTTTAAAGGTTACCAAGTCAAACTGCTAACCCTGCCAAATCCACCACCAACCCACGTCCCTAAGCACCACATCTGCACATGTCTTTCAAATACCTCCAAAAATGGTGTCCCCAACACTGCAGCCTGTGCCTCTGCTTGATAACCCTTTCTGTGAAGAAATTCTTCCCAATATCTAATCTAAACCTTCCCCGGGGCAACTGGAAGTTGTTTCCTCTTGCCCTGTGACTTGTTACTTGAGAAAAGGGACTGAGCCCTGAGCCCTGGCTATGTCCGCCTTCCAGGGAGCTATAGAGAACCATAAGGTCCTCCCTGAGCCTCCTTTCCTTCAGGCTAAACACCCCCAGATCCCTCAGTCACTCCTGATCACGTGTGGTCCAGACCCTTTCCCAGCTTCGTTGCCAGAGTGTGTCTGGAAATGTCTTTCAATGTCTTTCTTGTAGTGAGAGGCCCAGAACTGAACACAGGATTTGAGGTGCCTCACCAGTGCTGGGTACAGGATACTACAAATACTATATATAATCCAGGAAGAAAATGGAGTATTAAGGGTGACATGGAGTTTGTGTTCTGCTCCTCACTGAGTTACATGTGTATCAGTGGAATTATGTTACCATGTTACCTTTGTAAAGCTTCTGTTTGGTTCATTTACTGCATTTCTGCTCTGCATTCACAGCTTAGATAAAACTTGACTGTTCAGTGCTCTGATGCATGGTAACTCAGTGACCCACATGGCATTTTGAGCATCATCACAGCTCCATCCCAAGCAGCAAGTAGGCAGGCGTTTAGAGTTGCACAGTGTTTCTCAGTCAATACTGCATGGGAGCCAGTAAAACAAAGTGACCTACTTTTTCTAGTCTGTAAATATTTCTGTAACAAAACTATTAAAAAAAATCCTGCTGCATACCATTTTTCTCTGCAAAAATACAAGTCCCAGATACACTCTAGCTAGATTTTCCAAGCATATTTTTCAACATCATTACCAAAGACCAAAAAAAATAGGTAAGTTATGCTAGGTAAGCCTTCAAATAGCTGTAAGAACAGCAGATTAATTTAATGCAATTAGTTTGCAAACTGGACTATTTTACCTTTACATTTCCTGAGCTGTATACTACTCTTACCATGAGTGTTTATTTCTAGTGACAGCTGTTTTGAGTGTGTTTAGGGTAGACTGCAGATTTTTTTAGCTCAAGGTATAAAAATGTATTCATTATTTGCACTATTACACATTCAGATTTAATACAAACTCCTTGGTATGCAGTTATGTTGCTCTTTCATTGTCTGAATTGTCCTTGAAAAACTCAGTGTTTCACCACCAACACCAGAAGCCATCTGAATTCAGACAATGTTGTTTCTGTTACTCTGCAACTTGAAAAGGCAAATCCCACTTACTCATATCATGGTAGACGGAGGTCGCTTCCTTTGTCAAGAACAAAGGTGGTTTCCGTGGTGACATAATCTCAATTTTCATAAGTTCCTCACAACAATGCTTCCACTGGCCTGAGAGAGAAAAGAGAACAATGACTGGAACTTAAACACATCAGCCTGGAAAAAAAATGGCAATTATTAGGTTGTGTCAGGAAACTATCTCTAAAGTAATACTAAACAGTGAGAATTTACTTTTGTTTAGCAGGAATGCTCAGGATGTGTTTGTATTTTCACCTCTGTATTCATTCTCTTAGCACAAAGGTCATAAGATCCTAGCTGGAATTTAAGCCTCCCAGAATTATTATTACACTACGATAGCTAAAGATCAAAATTTGTCTTCAAATCCTCAACAGTATAAAACCAAGTGAAAAAAAAAATAGAAAAAATGTAAATTTGGGAAGCTTCATCAAGTTATCAGGAACAACCTCCAATATCCTGCAAGCTGGATGTTATACAGCAATGTTACAATGCTATGGCAAAGGAACATTCTGGTTATAATAGAGGATAACTTGCCTTTTATCCCTTAGCAGACAAGGAAACCTCTTTTTCTATTAATAGATTTTGACCTTAAGGAAAACAAGACACAGTAAAATTACTTTGTTCATACCAATCATTCCAAGTTTTCTGAGCACATTAATTTTAAGAGAATTTTAGAACCAGGGAAGAAAAAAGGCATTTAAATGCCAAGTGACCCATTTTTTCAGAATCCAAGGAAAATGTCTCAAAAAAATCTGTGGGTCGTATTCTATCTATAATGAATAAGAAGTAGATATTTTACCCTGCTGTACAGATAATTTAAAGAGGATGCCCTAGTTTTTGCTTGGTGTGTTTCTTTAATTGATAGTGCTTTTTCTCATTGTAAATCAAAGTTAGAAATTACTGGAAAATATGACTATGACACTGAGTTTCTACAACCTCAATTCAATTATTTGATTGGTGTTGTCTCTGACTAAAGACTGATATTTCATTAATTGACCTGGTTTTGTTTTCTGACCTGATAAAAATGCCTATCAGGAAGCAACTCTACTTTGTCAATAGCAGCATAAAAGCTGACAGCCTCTACTCTCAGTAAATCTGTGAGTCAAGCAGAAAGCAGAGAAAAAAGACACATGCAAATTAATCTATGTAATTTTTATAGTAAGGATTTGGTGATAAACAAGGAGTACAATATACTACTTCAACAGTATTTCAGACCAATAAATGAGCTCCCTCTGCCATGTAGATCAGGCTTGTTCCAGGGGTTTGCCAAAGGATCAGGATAACACTTTAACACCTGTTACAAAGACTGAGGTACAGCTTTTACCAGGTCCAGGTAAGCAGTGTGTATTTGCCCATGTGGATGGAGTGTGGCTGGGTGAGCGTATTCCCATGTGACGAGGGCTACCAGAACCTTTGAACTACAACAGAATCAAGCAATCCCTATTACAACAAATTGTAATTTAATTCATCCATGGCACTGCTGAGCAAGGAAACCCCAAGTTTACTTGTGACTACTTCCAAGAGCTGGCAGAATCTGCATCCTAGCCAAGGCCCCACACGATTCCAGCATCCTCACCAATTGTCACTAAGGCTTGGGATTATATACTAGGATTTATACTTGTAGGATCTCACCAAACCAACACACCACTGACTGGATGCCCAGGCAGAGGTGGATTCCTCCCACTACAGTGAAAAGGAGGAAGAGATAGTGAGAATTTATCAGTCTTTAAAAACATTATCAAGAACACTTCTAAGAGAACAATTTTTTTTGAGATTGATGGACATATTCTGCCTCTGATTTCCTGCAAGAACACATGGACTTTGGTTTAGTCAAATATTTGCCTTCCAACGACTTAGACCACCACCCAGTGTTATCCCAGAGAATATATTTCTTTTCATTCCTGCAAACAAAGGCTTATGAGGCAATTCCAATTCAAATTGCTCAAAGATCCCTTTGATGTTACATAATGCTCCATTCAGAGGGCACACTGCCAGCACTGCCTGCTTACTTACTCAGATCATAAAAGTGCTGCCAGAAAGCCTCCATCCACTGATGAAGTTCATCCCTACTGTCAGTAGCAAAACGTTGTGTCACACCCTCTCCAGACACGGGGTTGATAACAGAGAAGTTATTAGCTCTTCTCTTGGAGTCCTTATCCACAGCTCGAATCCTGGTTTCCTAGGAACAACAAACTGTGGTAGTGACTTATTGCTTCACTTGACTGGCATCAGCTTATGGCCAATGACAGTGTAAGGAAGGTAGAATTTGGCCTTTTGTCTACTTCAGATTAATACCAGATTTAAAAAAAGAGAACTAACGTCAGGAACAGATTATAAAAATGTTTTCTCATAAAACTATTAAAATGGCATAAAACATGAAAAATGAGGGAATAAAGCACAATTATTGCAGTCCAGTCTGAATTACAGAATGTACTGTAATTCTGTGTTCCCCCTCTCTCTACCTTGACCAGCTCATCTCACACTGCTCACTATTCTCCACAGCAGTTTAGTGAATAATCTACAATAACAGCAAGCAGCTCCTTTTCTCCAAACGATTCAGATGGACAATCACATTATTACAGCTACTATTTACACGTCCTGCTGCACTTCTGTGAGCCATCATTTACCCACTGCAATGTAAACTTGTATCAATTTAATGCTCATATTAGTGCATCAGGACTTCCAGGGTAATACAAGAGTGACAGGAAAATTAGAAAAGAAACTTACTTAGGCCATTTTTAAAGGGGTATTTGTAGCAATAACCCATACAGTTCTACTAGAACAAGATTTTGTTCTAATAGAAAAAAACTATTTCCCATTTTAAAATAGACATTTTCATTTTAACTTAATTAGGAAAAGCTGCATAGAAATAATTAAATGTGTATATATATCTAAAAAGTATAACACAAGTCTAAAAAATCTCTTCAGCTAGAGTTAGAAAAGCTCTCAGATTACACAGCAGCACTGTTAAGGTTTTTCCTTCTGTTCAGGGACATAGTTCAATTGCTCTAGACTAGAACCAGTAGTATTTTCAGAGTATTTACTTTCTTATGGCATTACTACAATTAAAAAAAGTTATGGCATTACTACAATTAAAAAAAAACCAAACCACTTATCCTTAACTTACTGATTTTTCTGTGTGTGTTTAAATTGCTAAAAGCTTTAAGTCTAGCTAAAACACAACTAAAATAATTCCAAAATGCAACAGGTCAACATTGCTGCTCATCACAACATGATGAGCAAATTAAAACAATTAACATTACTTTATTTACAGAAGTAAAGTAGGAACCCTGGGAATATCTTTGCACATGTAACTTGACCTGACTGAAGAAGCAGCAGCCCATTACAACACTGCTCCTCAGAGGATTTCTGGCACACCCAGGAGAGCAGAGCCATGAGTTTTGGTGCCAGGGCACCAGCCGGCCCCCTGCAGCTGGCCAGCCCCGGCGCCCAGCAGGACGTGAGGACATCACACACAGCAAGAGCATGCACTGCACCCTGCCACACCTGGGTATCCCTGGCATGGGCAGTGCCCAGCATTCGAAGGAAGCCAACAATCTCAGCCAGGGCTGTGTTCTAACACCTCCTGTCTGGATGGACAGTGAATCTGACCACAAAGGTGGCTCCTCAAAATACAGCGGGGACAGAACAACCAGTTCCCTTCTACACTACTCAACCAAATGTCAAACATCTGCTAAAGACGTTAAACATACACCTACAGAAATTAAGTTTACGCATGGGATCCCATGGGGATAAGCCTAGTTCCGATACTCAGAAAAACAAAAGTTACTCTACAGACCATTCCCCAGATTTTAAATGCATTACTGAAGTAACTATTTGAAATACCAACAACTGCTTGTAGCATATCTGATGGATATGTTCATTTAAATTCTTCTGTCTAAAAATAGGAGATGAAGTAATTCATCCATCAGTGCTCTATATCCCATTAACTCAGGTAACCATAGATACCAGCAAAAAATGAAATCAAATAGATTAACATTTGACAGGTAAGAACTTCAAGCATACCATACACACAAGTTTATTTAATGATGTTTGCTGCAGGTTTTATCCCACAACTGTGGTATTATTCAAAGGAGATAAATCCTCAAGCAGCAATCTGTATCTGATGCTTGAATATTTCAGCAGTCATACAAGACGCCATTACAGCAATGGGCTGATGAATTTGTCAGGCTCGGGTGAATTACACAACATGCCCAGTTCCACTAAATAAAAGCAAAACCCAAAACAGCAAAAAGCTATTAAAAGCAAAACAAAACCAAAACAAGCAGAAAAACCATCCCAAAAAAACACAACAAAAAGTGTTTTAATTTACCATGTTGTAATAATATTTTTCCCGTTCTTATAAGAAAACTGAACCAACTCTGCTGTAGCAGTTGTAAAGACGAGAACAATCCGTGGATGGCAATAGGAAAACAATTGAATCTTGAACTCAAGTGACTCTTCTGGGGAAGCTAAAGCCAGTTTTATATTCTTTATGCAAAAGATTGTTCCTTTGAAGGTGGGGAAAGACCAAAAGGGAAAAATACATGGTATTTACATATTTGTAAATACCAACCTTATTCTATATTTTCCCCCACAAATAAAATCTCTTTGCATGATAATACCTCTCTGAAAAGCTCATATTTTAAGCTAAGAAGACACAGGGATACTGAGAACTTTTTTACTGCTGAGGTACAACATTTTCCTGATAAGCCAGTCTTGACAGCCTATGAAGCACTGGTTATAAAGACCATTTTAAGATATCAAAACAATTTACAGTTCTTAAAAATACTGAATACCCTAGAGACCCAGTTCTGTGTATCTATTTAAAGATTGAACAAATCAAATCACATATAACAAACTCTCTTTGTGCTTTTAGTACAAAAAAAATAAACCAAACTGAAAATCAGTACAACACTGGAAACAACTATAACCTGTACATGCATTGGTTTCTGTTGTAATATTAATAATTTCCATGAAATTTGTTTTAGGCAAGCAAGGAAAAATGGTTAAATTTCAAATTATAGCTTTCAAACACATTAATTGACCAAAATCTATCATCTAATATTTTGTCCCTTCCTTGTTTTGTCAGCTTGTACTAATGTGACATCCTCGTGGCCACTGGCTGGTCAGTACAATGTGTATGACATGGATAAGCAATATTAGGATATCGGTGCCATTGTTCTTGGGAGCAATGCAGCAGCTGAAAATGTGGAAAAGGAGATAGCAATGAATGACCAGCAAGCATTTTGTGAAGCAACAGTGAGCCAATAAAGTAGCTTTCAAACTGCTCAATGTGAGCATGGTGTGGTTCAAGGATCTGGGTGTTCTACCTGCTTCCCCTGCCTGCATCCACAACCTCTTTCAATACTAGACATTTGGAGGTACTTAACTAGTCTGTGCTTTCCCAACATATTTTTACATCTAGGAAGGCTCTTCCTAAGACAGCTAGTGAGATAAAGTCCTTACTACAGAGAATACAGATATTTTCAGGGCTTATCTCATTTCCCTGTGCTGGAATTCCCCAACACATATAGTGAATATTGCTCATGTTGCTGGCTCCCTAAAAGCTCACATGGTCTAGAACTGACATCCATATTCCTCTGCTCCAGCCCAGGGATGAACTCCCTGCTTCCCTAGAAATATGCATGGTTCCCTTGAAGTAACGCTGCTGCAACCACCACCACATTTTCCAACCAAGTCCTGTACCTGACCTAGCCAGAAGACCTGTACCACCAAGGACTGTCATTCAAGGTAATTCCAGACTGATGTTGTCCCTCTGCTCCTGCTGCACTGATCAGCAGTGCTCCCATGACCCTGAGCCTGTGGCTGCAAACCCTTGCTCCTCACCCTGCTCCCCTCAGAGATCAGCACGGGCACAGAGAGAGCCCCGGGCCCGCCAACTGCAGGGCCCTGGGACAAAGACTGCACGGACAAAATATGCCAGGAAGGAAACTGTGGGACTACAGCAATTTGAAACAAGAGCCCAGAATCCCTCAAGCTTCAGGCACTGATGGCATAAAAAGATTTTTAATCTGTGAACCAAACACAGTAGATTATGTATTCCAAACAATGAGCAACTAACGTGAACTGCTGGCACATGCACCAATTTACTAAGCTACAACGTGTAGGCAAGGCCTTTATTTTTCATTTCAAATTAAAGAAAACTTGAAAAAAAATCAGGAAATGGCCCATAAAGGATATTTCTTCAGATTGGATTCCAGTAAATTTTCTTTGCTACAGAAAATATAATTTCTCTTTTCCTACTTAGTTGTGCAATATAATATGTTATAATCACATTTAGCTGGAACAATAACAGTAGCACTTGCATAATAGGAACTGCAGAACCATTCTTGCTCAAGAGCAGTAGCAATGAAGTCATCTAAAGTTGAAGTAATGACTTTGCTGTCTCAATGGCTTCTTCAAGTCTCAATTCAAAGGGAACTGGAAATACAGCTAATGGTGTCAACATTTTCCAGAGAATTTCTCATAAATCCAGATGATTTCATTACTTCTCAGAAAGTATCTTTAAATTACATGTAAAGGATCAGCTTCATGTTACAAATGAAAATGCCACATATGTAACCCTAAGAGATTTTAGTTAGGATGTGTAGAGGTGATGTTCAATCTCAACTTTTACTTTGAAATTGCTGTTTCTTTAACAACATGTAGCAGACAAATCCATACGATTAATCTGCTTTCAGTTAATCCATAAGAGAAATTGTATAACAAAGGAATCAAAAAACATATGCAGGCATTAAGTTATTTTCAAGAGAAACTGTTTAAGTAGTAAAGGATCCAAGTATGTTTTCAATAGCCTTTTCTTTTTTTGTTTTAAATTTCCATTCAAGAAGCATTCACAATCATTCTCCAGCAGCCTGATATCTTTGTAAAATGGTGTAAGATACATAAATCATGTACCTTTTACATGTTAGCTTTAAGGATACCCTGAAAATATAAGAACAGTCTCTCAGGAAAGGCTTATCAAGCTGGATTTTAGGTTCTGAGTGCATTGGTTACTCAAAGGAACAAAATATCTTAGTACAATACAATTTTAAAAGGAAAAGCAAAATCAGGATTTAGACTAAAACAGAGAACCCCAAGGGAAGATATGAGGTAGCCTGATAGATAATTTAAAAAATATTCCTGTAATGTTTTAGAATTATTTAGTCATTCTGTAATCTACTAAAGTTTACCATTTCTTAACTGATACTGAGAACAGCTGGAAAACAGAATTATGGCAGAGTCTGACAGTGAAATTGGAAGAGACCGAACAAGTAAACCTACTTAAATATATATCACTGTATAAATATTTATTTAATGTAAATATATAAACAGTTGGAAGAAAAAATAGCACTAGAAAAACAGGTAATTTTATTTAAGGAATCAATTTAAATCTTAGCAATTAGAAAAAACATTCTAACAGAAGCAGGTGACATTGTTATAACCCATTTAAATGTGTGGGTTCTACGGCAGTCTCACTCTGGACAAGAATGCAGTCATCTCTCCCAGGAACACTCAAGCCACCCGGGGCTGATTCTGCTGCTGTAAGAAGCGTTCTGTGTCACCCCATGTCCCCACATGTTCCCAGCCACGGCTGAGCCCCATGCTTGCACCACACAGGCATTTGTGCAGCCATGGATGAGCTGGGGAAGAGAAGTGGTGGAAGGCAAAGGCAGAGGGGGCAGAGCCTCCTGCTGCCCCGTCAGCTGCCCTGTGCCCGCCTGGCACCCGCAGCACGGCCGGGCCCCGAGCGCTCCTCTCGGGATCCGTGCTGGCAGCGAGCGCCTGGGGCAGCGCAGCAGCAGCACCCAGAGCAGCCTGGGCTGAACACACCTTCCAAGTGTGGCTGCTTACTTAGGTAACATCAACCCAGCTGTGGTATTGCAAATAACATTTAACTCCTCTGCCCACCCTTACGGGATATTAACCCTTGATGCCTGCACCAAAACCAGTTTTTGAAAGCATCTGTTCTCTCTAATGCTTGCCATTCAAGAGGGTCCTTCCAATAACATTACTAATTTAAATATTACTTCAGATGAATTACTATTTCTTTGGCAAATAGTGAGCAACGTTTTAAAATTACATTTTAAACTCAGGTTTTTTAATCAGAGCATGAACAACAGCAATAATATCATCCTAGAGAACAGAGCTTCCAAAGTTATTATGCTCTGGACAAAACCAGCATTAAGAAAAGCAGCTTATTTTAAGGCACTAAAATATTTTGAAAAATTTTCCATTTCTCCTTCTAATTAAGACTGTGGCCAAATAACACGTAATAACAAAAAAGCTTTTGTTGGAATTCCACCTTGCTGAGGACAAAAGTCTACCAGAGTATTGCTAGGGGACTGTAAGCAATACATTTCCAATGGCTGTCTTACAGAACTGTGATATAAAAGGTTATTACTTTTCCTATAGAAAAACACCCTCCTTTTTGCTTCTATGCTAACCAGTCTAATGCAATAGAAGGAATTTACATCCACAGCTAAGCAATGTTATGTTCCTGCTGAGGGACTGCAAATTTCACTGAAGTACATCCCACCCTCATTCTACTTATAAAACATTCTGCATACCAGCAGCTTAGAGCCCAAATGACTGCACATATTTCCTAAACTAAAAAGAACATCCCCAAAATAATAAAATAAATTTTAAAACCCCAACAAAAGAAAAAAGAAAACAAACAAAAAATATCCCCATACAACCAATTTTACCTTGTTGATGGGAACTGTCAATGCTGGCTCCACTTTAGCCTCAATTTCTTCTGGTGAGTAATAACAAAGGAGTTTGCCACCTCTCAGCACGCAATACAGCCTCCTCCAGCTTGTTAGACCTCCTACAATTTGCTAAGGGGAAGAAGTAGTCAGAAATTGCCAGACATAAACCTAAAACAAAACCATATTGCAAGGTGCATACATATCAGCCCTGAGTGATCAGAATTTAGCCAAATTCATGAACCAAATTCATTCCTGCAACTTTCTGGTGCAAAGACTTCCTGTTGTGGAACATTTCAATCACTGATTTCTGAAATGTTAGCAGTACTTTAAATGTCTTCTGGTGTTTTACAGTTTTTGCAGACTTGCCATGTGGCACTAATAGTACAGAATCTGCTGGTTCACACAGAATGAAATTGAGATCTGGTATCTAGTGTAAAAAAAGGAAAGCACCTTTATTAGCTACAGCAATTGCACAATAATAGAAATAAAAAGAGTATTTCACTTTGGAAATACACAGTACATTCAACAAATGTTAAGAAAAGACATTTGTCTAGAATTTCCACCTTCTCAAATGAATTTTCTGGACAGCTTTCATAAAACCATAACAGTTTCACAACCAGTTTTAAAGACTGTAATTCAGCACTCCTGACAAATGATGCAGACCCACTGGCCCTCCACTATCACCTTCTCACTTGCCTATTTGTGCAACAAACAAAAATAGAGAAGTAAAGTGAGTTCACATGAATCATTTCTGAAGGGATGAGTTTAATACGGCTCTGTTCACCAGCCTGATTCACCATGCTGTGATAGAACTCTTGTGGCAGCACAACAAGGATGTTCAAGGATGAGAGCCACAGGATTATTAGGACTGATGCCATCAAGTAGCACTGCAAACTAACTCTGAACAAGAGTTTCACTTATCTTTACTAACAGACTACATCATTCATGCCAAGGAAACATTGATTTCGCCATGCTCAGCCACTGAAGGCACCTTTTGTGAACATAGTTGTGAGAGAGTTTCCCCCTTGCTCTAGGTAGAGCAGGTAAAAAACAACAGTTCTCAATACACCACTTCAGGTAAAAGCAAATGTTTTAACAATTGACTCTTAGTGACAGCTGTTAACAGCCCAGGATGCAAACACAAGCAAGGTCTCCTTACCTGCTGATTTAGAAATCCTGCCATCATGTCCCTGGCCATGCAGGAGGGCTGGACAACTAAACGGCAACACATGTTTCCATACAGAGGTAGCCAAAAAGAGGATTCCTCTGAGGGAAAGGAAAAGGCAAAAGACAGACAAACACTCAGGTCTGAAAAATTGCCTTAAACATATAGTTGAGCATTCTACATCTGTTTTTACATTAAGATACTGAGTGCAAATAAGCATATTTTCGTATTTTGAGGAATTAATGTGGGATTATATTAAAACTGATTTTTAGTCTTCAGGAAGTGTTTTTTAATTGAAAATGTTCATAAATTACAAAATAATTTCAAGTAAAAATGGCAATATTGTTCTGCAAAAAAAGGTGTTCTTGCATAAAATGTAGCTCATTTCAGAGCTAGAAACTCTTGAAAGGTAAGTACGCTGGCCCTCTCACGTCCTGTGATCCCTGAGCCCATCCTGTTGTGGCACACAGCTGTATTTATACACAAGCACTTTGCTTCAGATAGTTTTAATAAGGCTTGGAATTTGTATCTACTTTTGCCTTCAGCACTAGAGGATCTAATTTAGGGTTCCAAGGAGTTTCTAATGAATTGGAATAGCTCAGCTCCACTATGCAATAGGCTCTCTCTTCTGTAATTAGAAGTAGGTAATGCAATGTTCCATTAATGTGATGCTGTCTTTGGTCAAGGTTTAGAAATGCTTGTAATGAACCAAAATGCCCAGGTATGTCCTTCCTCACCAGACTAAATTATGTAAATTAATGTCAGAAAAAGGAACTTCAAGAAGATATAAAGTACTAATAAAGAAAGGCTTACAAATAGCAAAGGTACTCAGAATTATTCATCCAACACTTCAAGAAATAAATGCCCCATTAAATCTTCAAACCTGTACTTATTCAGAATTACTGAAATGTAAAGAAGGAAATTCCCTTTGAGGTGGTGTTTACCCCAGTAAATCATTTAAGTTCCCAGAAGCAACAGTGACAGTCCCATGTCTTAAGTTATGAACTGGAGGATGGCTTATAGGAGGAGCTATCCTTGCAGAAAATAATGGACAAAGTACCAAAACGTGAAAATACCACCATCGGTTGTAGTATAATCAGTCCCCCACAGTGTCAGCATCCAGGCTGACTGCTCCCAACTTGTGCTGCCCCAGAGCTGAAGGACAGCAGCCAGCATAGACTGCAAGCACACACCCTTACATCCTGTGTTAAATCTGGGCCTCAAAAAAATCTCACCAAACCAAAGCAATTTTTCTCCTGACTACAGAGGAACAAGCTGTTCTTCATTCTGATACCCTTCCTTGATTGTGAGGAAGGGGAAATAATTTGTATATAACTCCATCGCACATAAGACAGAGACACAAATGACAGAAGAAACTCCCAAAAGAATTAAATTTTCATCTGGACTAGAAATTTTACTCAACATATAGTTTATTCAGCTGTGTACAGATGCCTGGTTTAGAGCCGTTAAATATTTTATTAAAGTTGTTCTATATTGAGTATCAAGAAAAATAATCTCTTTAAGCGCTTTAGTTTACAAGACTTTAATGCAAAATGTTACTGTTTTTTTATTTCCTTAAATTGATACCATATGTACTTACCATTTCCTGTAATGGTAAGGTTGTGGGTCCTGAAATTGTCCTCAGCACTTTCCAGCCCCAAAGTGGTGTATGCTAGCAAACTGTACTTTGCTCCACTAGATGTGAAAGAAAAGGCATGTTTAGGACATTTCTGCTTCATGTTGCTTGGGCAGTAATTAAAAGGAGTCTAGACATGCTTGAGAGACCACATTTCGGTACAAGGAAACACCAAGGTGCAGGGCAGGACCTGTCAGTGACCACAGATGGACACCTCCAACCTCTTCCCACACAACTCCTGTATCTCTGATTCTTCTTGTAAACACTGTTCACAGTCTGTTCCTCTCCTTCCTGGATCCTTATCTCCTGCCTCCATGTGTGTACCTCCAGTTCCTCCCACCCCACAACTTCCAGGCCAGTGCCATCATTCATTGCATCTCTTTCTCTTGCCTCCTCTCTGGGACCTGCTGGCCAGGAGACTTCTCATGTGGTCACTGCCTATGAGCTGGGCCAAACACAGGAATACAGGCTGTGCTATCCAAACCCTCTGCACCCTCTGGATGCTCAAAACACCTCTCTCCTCTAGTCACACACCAAGTAACTTTCAATAGTTTTACAGTTCTAATTACTAGGCCTAAAGCAATTAGATTTGGTAATAGGTTCAAAAATTCCTAAAGTTAATAAAAAACTGATGACAAACTTTATCTGAAAATACAAGTTAAAAATTAAAAGGCATTATAATGCTTCTCCACGCTGCTGTGCTCTTTGCTTTGCCTATGCTGGCTACACTTTATAAACCAGTTGTTGATGTATGTATTTTTAATAGGATCCAATAGATTGATTATTCACAGGCAGAAATCTGTAAAGAAATCCTATGGTCAGTTTTGTAGCAGAAAGGATTTCTTTTCACTTACTGGACTTAAGAGGTTTCAGAATCTTTTATCTTAGCTTTGTATTTTGCCTAGGGGAAAAAAAGTATCACTCCCACAATTCAGCACAGTGCAATTGTGGAATGCAGTTCTTGGAATAAACTGGTATAAATTTAGTACATTAACCTTTTCTCTAAAATACTCATCGGACCAAGTAACAGATTTATAGTCCAGCAATGCAGTAGGAATTCCACCTGGCTAACGGCAGTTAGAACAAAGTTCACAAGAAAACAAACCCCTCCAAATCACTAACTAGTCTCCCAACAGGATCTAGCATAAGATCCTTACAATATCTTCAGTAGAACATCAGAAAGCTTAGTGGCGTAAAAGCTGAGAAGACACCATTGAGCTAAGATCATCAAGAATAATTTTCCATCTTAGTATTATTCAAGTTTTATTTTTCTTACTAGCACAGTGGGAACATACATTTTTCTGACCTTTGGCTCTGTGGATAAATAAGGAGAGCGTCTATGTCCCCCTAACCCTAACGAAAGAGGAGGAGGAAAAGTAGGAAGTTTGTTAGAGGGGAGGTCTGTTAATATCTGTCTCCAGGGAACAAAGAGAAAATTAAATAAAATATAACATCCTAGGTGAAAAATCACTGCTATGAAGTACTTCAAGAGGGCAATCTGAACAAAAAACTCATCAGCATTTGTATATATTCCCTGCTAAACTGTTCCTTAACAAAAGACTTTTCACTGATTATGTTTGACCATGCAGTTGAGCAATGCATTGCCATTCTATTTAAACTGTACCAAAAAGTTCAGTTTCTTCTCACAGATAAAACTGCTGTGCTGATTCTAAAGTTACTTTTTTTTTTCTAAAGCATGACTAATTACCACAACAACGTTGCCAAAAAAAATAGCTACTTCACTTTTAAAATATGCTCCACAGTAACATTTTAATTCTAAAATACAAGTCATTCCTTTCAGGCAGCTGCAATATAATTTAGGAAAGTTTTATCTACTGATATTTTTCAGATTTAACTGGCTAATCAGGATTGTTGACTGTATTTTTCCTTTGCATTTCAGAGAATTAAGTAACTGCCTTAAATGGCAGTTTCTCTGTACAACAAAGAATAATCTGCCTCCTGCATCTCATTCAGTATTTTGCATATCTGTTGTATTTTCCCATGTAACAACTTCATAAAAAAAAAAAAAAGGCAGAAAAGCAGCTCATCTCCACAACATGCCTGTGGCAAAGGTTTGTTGTTAAGTCTGTTTACTGATCAAGAGACAGAGGCACCCAAAGTTTCCACACAGAGCTGGGTGTGGGAAGGTGTAATTATAACACTCTATCAATGTATGTTAATTAAGACATCTTCAATTCCCGAATCTATTCCTGAATATTAAACCAAATGTTAGAAATCCCAATCTTAGTCCATTAATTCAATATGAGTGAATAAGCGAGTAGAAGACTTGTGAAGTAAAAAAAAAAAAAAAAATTCAATATGCTCAATATTCAATCAGATCTTAAATAATAGAGGGTAAAACCAAATATAATCTTCAGGTGCTAACAAGAACTCAACCATCAAAGAGACCACCAGATTAGACTGTGTACTTCCAGCAAAATATCACTGGGGATTTGTCAAATCAAACACAGGACATGGAAGCTGCTGCACCTTCAGCCCAATGGAGGACAATATATCAAACAACAACCAGGGCATGCACAGGCCAGTTCTGCAAATGAGTAAACAGGCACTTAGGGAGACTCTCCAGTGATTTATACAAAAAGCAACCCAGTTACACTGGAATTTAATAGCAAAACTGCACTTAAAATTTTTCTTCTATGAAAAATGTAAAAAAGAAAAAAATATTTAAGCTAGAATTGAAAAACTAAGCAGGCAAAAGACTGCTAAATGAGAAATAATTAAGAAAGAATATCAGTATATTTCAAATTAACTAACTTAAGCAACCAATCAAGCCCTTTGTCACTAAGCTTTTTCAAGAAGTTCCATGTCTGACAGTTTCCTCACTAACCAGAAAGACTTCTAAGCCAAGAAGTTTGAAACAGAGGGATCACAGAGTTTTTGGAAAATGGAGAATTCCATTCATGTGTGCATTGGAAAGAAAAAGGCTTGTACAAATGAAATCTACAGAGAAAAGGTGTTCGCATAATACAGAAAGTTCACTTTTTTGTTGCAGTTTAATTTCCCCTGCTGGACTGGTAAAACTCTCTGGGAATACTTGAAAGATCTCTTGTAATCTTACAGTGTCTTCCCTTTTATAAGGGCTACATACCAAGGTCTAATATAAATTCTTGGAGGAAGCTATAAAAAAACTGACAACTTATTTTCTGCCTATAATAACCCATTTCTTTCCAAACAACTATTTTAATCACCCAGCAATGCCATCATTTAACACTTCATTGTTCATTTAATTGTGTTAAGAAAATAATAGTCACTGTGAGATGATTATCTACAGTACAAACAACAAACTTCCAAGATGGAGGGAAGGAAAATTCAATTGAGAAACCAAAAGCAAAACCCAGGGGAGGAGGCAGCTGTTTAAATTGCCTACTGGTGCTTTTTCCTTAAAAGACAAGCAATCTATACTGAAGCAAAGAAGCCAGTGGTTATATCTGATTCAAACTGTGTCTAATGATAGTGTCTCATGGCTCAGCTGAAGCTGGTGGAAAGCACAGCCACCTGACATGATGCAGACTGAAAAATGTATTGTCATTAGGTGGCATCCACTGCAAAGTCAGTGATAAAATTTGTTTTATCTGTGGATAAGATTTGTTGGATGTCTAATTTTGAATCAAACAGAAAAATCAGTTTGCAGTTATATCAGTTCAACAAAGATAGAATATGCTTAATGTTTCTTTGTAAAATCCCAGCAAATAGATTTCTATTAGTCTAGATATGAAACTAGACTAAGACTAAACACCCAGAAAGAATTAAGCATTGTTTCTTTACTGTCGGCCGCCAAAAAAAGAGGAATTCCTTGAAAAAATTTCTTTCTAAAAAAAAGTTAAAATAAATAAAATAAACCAATGTTATTAATATTTGTAAATTAGGTATTTGGCCTACCAAATAGTAGCCGGAAAATATTAGTAGGCAGCTAATTTTTAAAAGGAAATAGGTAAATTATTGGGAAAAGCATTTATGCCTATGAACACTGAAAAGGAGTAAGTCATTTTAAAATGTCCTGTGCTAAATTCAGAAATCTCCTGCTAAGTAGCCTGTAACCATAAAGTGCCTTTGGCAGTGCAGAGTTTTACTGAAAAGCTAGCAAGTGGAATTAGGGAAGAGGGTACAGGAGTGGTTTTTTTCTGCCTACGTACACAACTTTTCCTATTTCACACAATTTGTAACTTTTACACATATCTACCTGTCAATTATGAGCAACACTGGCTAGGTGCAAAAATAGTATGGGGAGGAAGTAAACGGGGAAGAGGAAAGGAGGAGAGGTAGATGGACAGAGAGACACAGACAGACTACAAGTTCAACTTCCTCTAGAGATCAAACTAAAAATATTATGGAGTTTGCAAAGAACAGTGGATTTACCAGCTGGCTGGCTGTGGAGCACAAACATAAAGGCTGCTTGTGTGTTTCAAGATCAGAACCAGGCCCCAAGGCTCAGCGACATGGTTGGAATTCACACCTACTTTCTCATTTCCTATTTAAAATGTAAATTTTTTTTCACTTGGGCAAGTAGAGAAAAAAAACAGTTTCTTGGCAGTTTGCCAGAAATTTACAATTATATTTAGCCTATTTCTATTTTAAAAGCTATAAAAACAGAACATCAATATATGTGGCTTACTGGATGACTGGGTCAGCAGGCACAAGGGGTTCAGTGCTGTCTTCCTCCAGCGCAGCTTTGAGTTTCTTCCCTGTAGCTTTGCTGAGGGATGTTTTAAGTTTCTTTGCCAGTTTCTTAGGAGTGTTTGTTATATATAAAGACTCCTCTGTACAGCAGCTATACACTTCAACCTTCACCTGGAAATCTGGGCTTGCTTCATCACTGAAGTGGGGGAGGAGAAAATTTCAGCGCGTTTGTTAACAAACTGTGTATGGAGCCAAGGAATGCTGCTTCTGCTTTATAGATTAAATAATATATTTATAATAAAGGGAAGGAATGCCATCAAATTCAGGCACAGATATACATTAATATGGAATTAAGGACTAGAGTACACAGTAGTAACAGTATTGGGGTCATGAGATGGATAATTGCAGCATAAATAATTACAAACAGGAAATTCAACATTTAGGTTAAAAACCGAAAAAAACACCCACGTTATGGAAATACACGGGAAAGACATTCAAACACACTTAAATCTGCCCTCTACTGTTACACAAAAATCACATGATTGAAAACCTATCCCTGCATATGGTCCTAACTCAGATTGAACTGTTTAAAAGATATTTTATCTTCACCCCATCCCCTTCAAATTACTGAAAAAAAAAATGCTATCTAATAAAATCTGTCATTTACAACTGAACTTCCTATTGCTGAATCCTCTGGCTCACAACCTTTCTCAGTTTTCAGCTCTCCGATTGTCTTGTTCTCAAGCTTAGTCATCAAGCCAGAAGCCTAACCTCATTTTTCAGATACAAATCATGCCATTACACACATGCCATAATGAAATCATTCCAAAAGCTTTTGTATCAAGTCTTTCTATGCTTTGTGGGATACAGGCAAGTTAGGGTGCCTTTTTTGCTTTTGTTGCAGTGCTTCACAGAAAATTATAATGGTTAACTCTCATAACTTTGAAGAAGCAGATTGAAGTCTTTATCGCCACTCTTAACTTGAACAGGTGTTTAAGAGAGTTTAAAATTTGTTTTAAAATCAGTTTTCAGGAGCTTCATTTAAAGTTTTTAGTATTTTAAGTTTTCCAGTCAGTCTTCCTCAGGAGATGGACTCTATATCACTGATACAAAAGTAAAGGCAGGGAGTGGAGTCAGGCACATGCTCAGGTAGGTGTAACAGACATGAGGTGTTACTTGAGGAAAGAGACTGTAACCTGCTGGACAGGATAACAATGAGGTGTAACATTTACACCTATAGTGTCATAATGCTTGCAGGTTTTAGCATTAATTTAACACTGTCCTTGAGATGTAAGCTTGTTTATTTCTTTATATAAAGAAAAATGCTTCAGCAGGGCAAAAATGAAAAGAAGTACAGATCAACTGTCACATCTACAACCAGCATCGTTTTGCACAAAAAAAACCAGCCTTCCAGAGATGGGGATCCTCCACCCACTAAAATGAACAGAGCTTCTACTGATTCCTTTGCCCACAGCAAAACCTAGTGGACCTCAGCCAATCTTAATCATAATCACATCCACCTGTGAAAGAAAACAGCAATATTTGTACTTCATTCAACAGAAGTAAATTATACTCACAATATGGTTACATTTTCAAAACAGATATCTGTTATTGCTTCATCCACAATAATCACCTCAGTATCAAAAACCTCAGCTCCCATTCTGAACAAACAAAACACTGCGTAGCGCTGTGATTCTGGAGAGAGTCACAGAAAACTTTTATCAGCCACATTGCACATCACAATACTAAACACTGCCAGTAATCAAACTATACAAAATGGTAATTCAGACCTCTAAGGAATTGCCCTCAAATTCTTCCCACCAGAATTTTTAATCATAATATTTTATGATAATTCACCTATCAAAGCTGCTGTATAGGTAAGAATAACATACACAAAGGGGAAAAAATGCCTACCTCTATTAGGAGAGAAAAAAAAAAGTTGAGTAATCAGATATAGCATCTGCTAGCAATTTCAAAAACGTGAAAAAAAGTGTAATTTTGTTTAGTAAAATTGACTTTACACAAAAAAAATAACATTTGATCCAAAGTCTGTATCATTTTATGAATGTGCTACATAGGATTAGACTATTTTGCCATGCTTTGCATCTCTGACCCAATTGAAAATCAAAGTGAAATCAATGCCAGGTGACAGCTGGAATAGATTTAGGATTAATCTCCATGACACAGCAAAATGCATGTACTTGAAGGCTATCCAATAATACCCTCAACACCAACAGTCAACTTTCATTTAAATTTCTCATTGGAAACAGCCTCCAATATGCTCTCTCAAGTGCAGACAAGACATCTAACAATGTGTTTAATCAGAAGTTTCTCAGTTAACCATTTCATACAACATTCTTCTGTTGCTTCCTCTGGAATTCTTCTTCAGGTGGACTCTTTAGAGAGTAGGGTTTAAATAAAGAACCACAGGACTGAACTAACTCAGCTAACTACAACCAGCAACTTCAAATTACAAGCATTTACACAAGAAAGAGTAAAATATAGACCTAATGAAAGGTCAAAAAAGGGGTTGAAATGAGTATGAACTTCCTCATTCAGTTTAAATTTACAGGCATAAGCAACTGCTTATCAGAGTAATTAATTACATCTTACATACTTTCTTTTTTGCTGAAGTGGTCAGAGCCTTTCCACATTAATGGTATTCGAATATCTAAAGGGGGAAAAAAGAAGGAAGGGAGATTAAGTTACAGTCAATATTGTAAATGTGCAATCAAAACAAATTACAAAAAGTGTGTTGTTTCTTTTTCTGATGTTCTGGTGGTAACAGGGCCTTCCACCCAATGAACAGCATAACCATTTCCACACCAAAAGAATTTGGTGTGGAAATAGTTATTATTATCCACACCAAAAGAAAATGCAATAATTAGTTCAACTTGAAGCATCATTTCTGTTTAGAAATTATGCTAGAATAAAGAATATTTTAAATCTCATTTGAAAGTACCTGAAATAACATTTCAGAGAAGTTGTGTAACATAGTTCTGAGAGGTATTCTCTGAGCCCATTATTATGCACAGATGTGAACCAAAATCCTGCTTACCTTGTGCTGAAAACCACTCATCCCACTGCAAAGGAAAAATCTTCCTGTTTTAATAAAAAGATTGGGATACTTATACTGCAAACACTTCAGTCTTGTTTTGCTAACCACAGAGAAAATACCACTTATAATCACATTCCCAGTGAGAATTGTCTTAGTCAGCATAAAAAGAGTTTAGAAATCTATTTTCTTTTAACACAAAAATATCCTTCTACTTCAGAACCACAGCAGAGAGGTAATTATGAAGCCATTATTTTAAATCATGCCTGTCATTTTAGTATTAGGGAAGTATTTTCTTCACTGAATTTTCCAATTTATCTACTAAACTCAACATAGTACTAAATTACATTTTCCTCCATCTTAGAGGACTCAGGTGAAGACATAATGTTTTTTATTAGTCCCCTGTTAAAAGACAAAGCTGTGAGGGCTTTATAAATCCAAATCTGATTTCTGAAGTACAAGTGCTGTTTAAAAGTATATGCAATATATTAAGTGACACATGATGGCAGCAGTGAACAGCATGAACTCGGTTGTCTTGTGACAAAAATACTCAATATTGTTATAAAGCATTGCTGACTCCAATGTTGTCTTCATACGAGGCTGGTGGAAAAATCCACATTCACTATGCTGATGCAAAATAGTGCCAGTATTTTGGCATCAGACAGTCATGTATTCCTACAGGGGTTTACCCGAAAAACTTGTTAAGGGAAATCACATATAGTCATTCTGTCTCAGAAGTTAACTGAAAAATTCAAATTTCAGTTAATTTTTATAATGAGACATCTTATTATAAAAGCTGTTTCAATACTGAAACTTTCAAATTAATCTATTTTTAAGTGTTCATGAAAACAAATGAACTTTCAAGTGAACTACCAACATATAGCTTTAGACTTCTAACTTCCTAAAAATCAATACATCACCATGTTCTGAAACTGCCTTTCACTTCTAAAGATGCATTTGCATAGCAAGCATTTCTAAAAATAGGGGGTTTTACACAAAGAGAAATAGTTTTATGAAAATCATTACAGAAGTCTATCTTAAACTTTTATAAGATACATATATTCATCTTTGTCAGAGACAAAGCACAGAATGTTTCTTTCCTAAAATACAAAGGTCTCAAATACATTCATATGTGAAAACAATTACAAATAAAAGCTTTTTCTGTCTTTAATCATAGCAAACTCCGAATGACAATTTTAATACGCTCAATAGACCTTGTTAGCAATTAGAGTTAACTAGATTAAATATTACTTCTGTATGCCACTTTCAATATCTTGCAATGTGAAAAATTTACACCTTGGTCAGAAAATCATCAGGGTATAGACAATCAATCCTGGAACAAGTTTAACATGATACTTGTAAATCAGCTTTCAATTCATTCTTGGACTGAAAGAGCTGTCATTTATCAAAAACAAAGATCAATTTTCATACACCTTAATTTCAGTTACCATTAGCTGTAAATCTGTGTGGATGCAAACTGAATACATTCAAATACTAACAATTAATCAAATTTAAACCCAATGATTCCTCTATAAAATTACTTTAAATTATGATAATGCTTTTTTCATCAATATTTGATGTATTATCTTCTGACAAAAAAAATCGATTGGTACAATAACATAAATTACAAAATTTATTCAAAAATATGGAGGCTAAGTAAAAATTATAGAAGTGTGAAAAACTGTGGATTAAGGAATACACTTCCCACACAGTATCTGACATAGCTGCTTTCTGTAGGAGCATATTCCTCAGTAGTCCTGCATAGTTCTTCCCAAACTTTTGCAGTTGGTCACGATTGCCCTACTTTTTTGGTAATCGTCATCTGGCATGCACTAACTATATGAAACACTAATAAATTTATAAGTGGATGCATTACTGAGGGTAGAAAATCAGGAGGTGACCTACAGAAAGAATCAATCAGCAGAGGCCAAGAACATTTAGGCCTTTCTGCTGTAAACTGGACCTGGCCAGGCTTCCTGACAAAAGTATCTGAAGAGTGAGGCATGGCAGCACCCAGCACTCCCAGGCTGGACTGCACAGAGAGGCAGTTGGTTCTTCCTCCTCTTCCCCTTGATCTCTGCCACGCTTCTGAGGACATCACCTCCAGTTTTGAGAGCCACTGTGCTGGTAACAGTGAAGAATCATTAACAGATGGCACCAAATACAACGTGGTGTATTTCACCCCCTGTGGCCTTACTCCATAAAAAGAAAGCAGCTAAAGCTTTCATAACCTGAACAAGTTTTTCATACTAAAAACAGAGTTCTTAAAAAATTCTGCTTTTCTAAAGATAGTAGAAGTGTATTATATGACCCTAAAGCCTTCACTGCAGATAGCTCTCCAAATCTGAAGAAAGGTGCAACCACAGCACAGACAGACAAACAGATGCTTTCATCCAGCTACCATAAGGAGGACAGACAGATACACATTCTGCAAACAGCTGTGCTGGCAAAAAACATTATTGAACCATGTGCTCATCATTCTTCTACTAGGAGTTACCTTGGTTAAAGATATATCAAAATATGCAGAATGTACTGAAACATTTTCAGTAGTGAGCTGTTCTACACTATTTTATTCTTAATGAAGCAGGTCAGGGAGCACAAACAGATCTGTTAGCAAAACCAGCAGAACAGCCACAGGACTGCTGGATGTAGTAACATCCACTACTGTCACAGGCAAACAAAACAACAAATCCACATTGCTGAAGTTTGAGAACAGGCTAGAAAACAGCCCACTAGGAATGGTTGTTAAATGTCCTTGTTACTAGCCTGCATTGAAGCCATACCACTATACCTTTGTTGTAGTAATGTAATCTACATTGCCTAAATAACATTTGCATACTAGTTATAATTCTGCTCTCAATTTGTTAGACATACCCTGTTACTATCACTTCAAAGCCTGATGTTGTGGGGAGGAAAAATGTTTTCAGCTCACACTTATTCAGCTTTGAAATGCATTCAGTGTTTAGTGGCAAACAGAAAAGAAGTATTTCCCTGTGTGGAATGTCCTGTGAATAAAATGGAAAGAGAGGGTAGGATCTTCAAAAGCCCATGTGTAACTTAAGCTCAAGCCCCCTTCCAGCATTAGAGGATTGATGCCTCTGAACCACATATACACTTTAAAAATACAATCTTTTTTGTATAGTGTGTATTACAAGACACTGTACAGCTCATTAGCTTCTATAATTAAGTGACTACCCTGGCCTCTTACCTGATATAGCAACCTTTGCTCTGCACGCCATCCGGTCTTTTGTCTCATTTTCTGAAGACCTCCAAAAAAAAGAAAAAAGGTATTTGAGATCAGTGCATTTAGATATCTAAAACTCAACCCTTTAAACACTAAGAAGTGTCAGGATTTTCATATTATAGCTCATTTCAAATGCTTTTCTTTAAAGCTAATTTTGGTATTTCTGGTTTAAGATGAGAGTCATTAATTTCTTAAGCATAACCTGGAAGGAAGGTATACCACCTGTTTTAAAAAATCCCTAGAAGACTTTACTCCAAAGCATATGTAACCAGAGTATTAAAAGATGAGTAGATTCATCTTCTTTGTATTTTCCAGCTGCAACAGGATCAAATACATTATCAGTTTTTCTCTTCTGTACATGTCAATGAAGATGCAACTTAATTTATTGGTTCTATTATTTAAAGAATTGCCTCCTCCTCTACTAATTAAATGAAAGTTTCTATCTGCTATCAGTATCATGACTTCCAGAGGCAGTTAGAATATCTTCAGAACTCACAGATGATAGACCCTAGAAAACCCTAGAATTTTCTCTCTCTGCCATGATTAAGCCTTAAACAAATTCCAGTCTGAAGCAAATATCAAAAGAAAAGGACTCCAAATGGACTATCAACTACTAAAGGTACAATTGAAATGACTCTGTAGTGTGCCTCTCTTCTAATGACCTCCACGGACATCTCAAGCACGCCTGAGGACAGAAATCCAAGCAATGCATGGCAGTCACAAATCAAGTACACAATGCAACTGTTCAGATACCCCTGCCCTGTTCTGGACATGTGCCATCATCATTCTGTGCTCACTGACACCAAAGACAAGGAGTTGACACACTTGATATTATTCCATCACAAAAAAATAAATAAAAGATTAACCACTACAAAATTATTTATTTTATTAGGAAAAAGCAATACAAATGCAATAATTACAGAATACCATATGTATTATATGCTAGTTTTCAAAATCAGCTTCAGAAGAGTGCTCAGAAAACGCTGCTCTTTCCTCCACCACTTTTCTCCTATAAGGCAACATTCTGAAACCAAAAATTAGTGGAACTGCTCCTACAGATACAATTAACTGGAGCCAAGCATATACTTGAAGAGTTTCTACACTAAGCTGCAATGTAGTATTTCAATAAATTACTAACCTGAGAGCAATAGTGTCTCTGCACTACGATTCTCAACATTGCACCCCAAATAAATTCCATTTAGACCAAAACTCTGTAACGTTATTCAAATAAAACACACACACTTTAGCTCCTTCAAGAGTTATAATGTGAGAATATTTTCAGCTACTTCACTTCTCATTGAGTGTTCCATGTATCACTTCGCTGTAGTTAACACAAGTGGCCAGCAGAGGGTACCAATTAACCACGATGGGGCCATTATTAAAGGGCCATTGATAACAATGGAAAGAATGAAAAATACAAATAGCTGCATTCTGTCTTGGGTAGCTTTGTTTTCCCCCATCAGACGCGGCTAGGTACCTTTTTGTATGCTAAGGGTAATCAAGAAAATACGTCCATTGTGTTACTTGATACTAAATTAACGTCAAAAATAAAATCTACCCAGGAAAATGTAACTTGTATTTAATTTTCTAAAGCAAAAAGAAGACAGAGGAATTATTTTGTAAAGTAATGCTTTAAGGCAGCAGTAATTTATGTTTCAGAGATAAGGAAGGATTTAAATCCACAGTCCTAGACAGACTGCTAAAAATTCAGGTAAGTAAATGCCTGCTTCATGCTGCTCCCTCTGAATTTGAGCTGTTACTCACTGCTCCTCAGTCCTGCCCGGGCTGGGCTCCTCCTCTGGGCCCTGCAGCCGTGCCCTGTAGGCCCGGATGCGAGCGTTGCAGACCATCAGGTCCTTCACAGCGCGCAGGAGCTGCTCCCTCTGCGTGCTCACTGCCAGCAGCCTGCAGATGCCTTCTCGCATGCGGACCTCAAAGTTGATCTTCTCTTGGGTGTCACATTCCTAGACATGCAAAAAAACAAAGGATTAAAATAAAACTAACTAAGAGTATTCTCATTTTTTCGCATCCTCTGCAGTTGGGATAGAGAACTCTAGGTTTCAATTATACAGCTACTGCAACTGTTACTGAATGTGGAATGGGTACTTAATGTGGAATGGTAGTTCTCTCTTCAGGAACAAAACAGATTTACTATATCCATTATTCATGCAAATTCCAAACCAAGATTAACTCACTGTACCATCTGAAAGTTACTAAAATTTTATGTGCCTCCATGTGTCATTCATAGAATAATAGCATATGGTTCTAGAGAGGGCTAACTGAACAAAGCTTATAAATTAACAACACACTTTTAACAGCGATCCCTACTAAAATAAACTTTAAATTGAAGAAAATGTCTGAAATATTTTAAATCAGAAACTCAATCTCATCACCTCTTCAGCTATCTTTAAAAAAGGTAAGAAAATCTGTTTTTTTCACTTATGGTTGATAAGAAATTCAGGTAACAGCAGAAGCAAAGCAAAAAGGAGAGTGATCCCAATACTCAACAGCATCAGGCCATGAACTGAAAAGTCAAACAGCTGTGGTGGCTTCAAGACTGTACAGGCATCAATGTCAGGCACACTTTTCATTCAAACTATAAAGTAAACTAAACATCGCTGACAAGTCACTGGAATTCACCATCGCTGTATTTGGAAGGAGTGGGGGGTTCTAAGGTTTTATAAAATCTGCTGAGAAATCAACTTTTTTCTGCCTGCTTTCACAGAAAATATTTATAAACGTGCATTATTCCTCACTTGTGACTTTAAAGAGGTCAATCCACACCAGGCCAGGAAATAATTAAGGTGAAGGACCACAGACTGCTGTCTCCCAAAGGCCCACTAGATGCCATTGATGGTTGATACACATTACCTTGTTATGTGGCTGTCCCTGGCCAAACCAAATATTTCTGACATGTGAAGAACAGAGTGAATAACAGAATGCTGTCATGGTATTGCAGGGTTGCATTGCAAATACTTTGCAGGCCAGTGAAGAGCGACACTTTCTCATTACTAAACAAGAGTGCCTCAGTTACCTCTGGAATTAACAAATTCATGGTTGTTTGGTGGTAAATAGCTCCCAAAGCTCACATCAGAGATGTTTTCCATAGATGTTCTGCTGGTACAGAAGAACTTCTCTACAACTGATATATGCAAGCCTGGGACCTTGTATGGCACTGCAGACTATCCCCATTTTTAACCCTCACAGGTTTGCTTTCCAAAGCTTCAGTCACAGCCAGAAGGGGATAAAGCAGGACAACAACACCTCTGCATTCTCAGCACCTGCATCTTTAGCCACACTTTTTCTTAGGACCCAATCCAGAAAAGAACACAAAAAGAAAGAGAGTAGTAAATAGCTGACATCCATCTTCTTTTCTTCCAAGTCTAATTTTACATGGCTGTGAAACCCTAAATAAGGCCCATACCTGTCCCTAAGAAATAATTACTTATTCTCTGAGCCTAAACTAATAAATCAGCTCCAAAGAATGACATCCAACTTCCCCCTAATAATTCCCAAGACAGCAGGCCTCTGCACTGCCCTGGCTCCTCTCCACATCTATCACCTGTTACAGAACTACAGTGAGGAAACAAACACTCCCATTTGGGGCATCTGCATGTATCCATAATGGCTTTCAAGAACTACACGAAGCATTCAGTCCACACTACATCTCAGCCAGGCTCACGTAAAATATTCTGGACTAGCAGTAAATGTCTGTTGGGCCATAGCTTAAATAAGCATCCTGTATAAATCTCATCTGAAGGAAGGATTTAGCAGCCTGACTTGGGAACGTATGAAGTTCTTTATACCTACCAAAAGAGATTGGTCAGCTTTTTCCCCCCTCCCCCCAACATTCTGTCTAAAAATATAGGCACACCATCTGGACTTGGAAGAATGACACTGCACTGTATTGCCATATGCTGTCTACTAATGCACTGTTTCCCTGGTGGGGTCCATCCTTCCCCCACCAACGGCAGCACAATCCAGAGGAGATTATTAACAGCTGCTGGGATTTTCAGCCTCACACTCAGGAGCTACCTAAGCAATGCTTCTAAGAAGTGTCTTTAAATTCCCCACCTAAGTATGAGAAATTTTTCTAGTGTTACACAGACAATGCAGTCACAAAACAAACAACAAGAACAGCTGAGAAAAATTTACGGATACTGCCAAAGGTAGGACAGGTAGAAATTTTACTTCATTTAATCAGTAACTTCATTACAGGCTTTCAGAATCTTATTCCAAGTACACTTCTGCTTTACTGCCACGATTGTTTACATGTAAACCCTAAAAGCCTAAACCCCGTAAGTATAGTACATATTTTTAAAGTAAGCAAGTAGCCAGGCAGCGGGTGCTCTCCTAGAACAGGGGCTGTGAAGTCAATTCAGCACCTTGGGCATTTTGTAGCTAGAGGTAGAAATGAGAAATGTGTGGCTGTCCATTGCTGCAATGGACAGCCACAGTCTCACAGACACTCCCGAGCTCGACTTATCTGGGTTTTTAACCAACTCGAAGTGTTAAAAACCCCTCACGAATCGGAAAATCAAGAAAGATTAAAGAGGTGGAGGGGAGCGTGAGCGGGGCCCTCAGGAGCGCGGCCGCACCGCCGCCACCCACGAGGGCCTCGGTGCGCGGGCTCGCGGCACCACAGCCCCGAGCTCGGAGACGGCGCAGCCCC